TTTTTTTTTTTTTTTAAGGCCCATGAATGGGAGCTGGTAATCAGAGATTCGAGAACCCTAGTAAATGAGGCAGGGTTTGTTTCACATTTCCAGTTCTCTCTTTGAAGATGCCAGTACTGAATGTACCATTGACTTATCTGAGTTATTATATAAATTACAAAACCTTCTAGATACTGGTACAAACGAAGGAAGCTTTCTTTTAAGTGAGGCTTATCCCACTTTCCTGCCTTGTATTCCACTCTTTCCAGCACAAGTGAAGTACTTCGTCAACCGTCTCCACCAGAGTTTAGGTCAAGCAGTTGACAGTCTCAGAAATTTTGATTCCTGAGTGTGCTGGCTTTAATTCATGCCATTACTGCTTACTTGTGCCATGTGGGAGTGCAGTTAGGTATGGCTATATTTTCTCTTGCTTCCCTTTTTAACTTGCTAAGACTGGATTACAGTTGACCCTTGAACAATGCTGGGGTAGTTTAGGGGCACCAACTTGCAAGCATTAAAAAATCTGCATAACTTTTGACTCCTCAAAAACTTAACTACAATAGCCTACTATTAACCAGAAGCCTTACCAGTAACACAATTAACACCTGTTTTGCATGTTACGTGTATTGTACACTGTATCCTCATAGTAAGGTAAACTGTAGAAAAGAAAATGCTATTAAAATCATAAACAAGAGAAGATACAGTGCTGTACTATAAAAAATCTGCATGAGGCGCCTGGGTGGCCCGTTGGTTAAGCATCTGACCTTAGCACAGGTCTTGATCCTGTGGTTCATGAATTTGAGCCCTGCATTGGGCTCTGCACTGACTTTGCAGAACATGCCTGGGATTCTGTCTCTCTGCCTTGTCCCACTCTCTCAGTCTCTCAAAAAAAAACAAAACAAAACAAAAAAAAAATCCACATACAAGTGGACCTGCAGTTCAAACCCATGTTTTCCAAGGGTCAGCTGTACTTAGATAAGCAGCGTAATGTTAATTTTCTTAATATTCACAATGTACAAGAGTGAAGGTGGAGGTTTTACAAATCCTGTAGATCCTAATTTCAGTGCTGCTGTGGGTCTTCATTCAAAGCTGTCTGAGACAAGTTCTTTTTTCAGTCTAGTGTCCCTTGCCAGCTTGCCTCAGTGAAGGAGATCTAGTAAAATGTTCCAGAAGTGATTCTAGGCAAACTTTACCTCCTGGGCGTAGTGACATAGCCATAACCACAGGGGATTTTTCTAAGATAAACTGCTGGAGGAAATGACTGGTCAGATAAACTGTTTTAATTGTCTTTTCTTTTCTCAGGGGCCAGTGCTTTGTATGAGGAACAGTTCTCTCTTCCCAATTAGACTGGAAGCCCTATAGCTGGGTTTTCTGTAATGATCCCCTGGGTTGGGGAATGAATTGCTCTGTGCTCAGCCCCATGACCTCTCTAAAGAATTAAACTCGAGGAGGTGATTTTTTGTTTTTGTTTAAGTGATAGTGTAATCATTTTATCTAAGTTGAACTGGTTTATCAGTTATTCAGAGTGGTAGTAGGGGTTACTAAACCTGCCCCAGGAGAACTGGAAAGAGATATGGGTTTTTTTTATAAGTGTTTTCTGGTGAACCTGACCTCTCTATCATAATCGTCATGGCATTCATTGGACTTTCGGAAAATAGTGGTCTCCATGGATTGGTCCCTAAAAACTGGTTTACAAAAATTACGATAACTTGTGGAGCTCTAGTTGCCACTGGCCCATCTTTGTGTTTGAAATGGATTGGATTGTTCTCACTGATAAAGTGAATAAATACCATAGGTCTTCGGTAATGAGGCTGCCTGGAAACTGGATGTTTTCCTCTGATTGCTTTCTCATGGCATTTTGCTCTAGACGACCGAGGGACCAAAACGGTCTGATTGAGAAGTGCATCTACCTCAGCAGACCTCAGCATGGTTGCTTCCCGTCAGACAGATTTCTGTAGCATTTGCCTCCGCATGTTATATTTGGAATTGTTGGCCGGCTTTCCTCTCTTTGGTGTTGGCAGCAAGATCCAAAATGAGGTTTTCGAAGAATGAGAGTAAAAAGGTCTCTGTGCACAGGCAAAACTAAGCTCAGCTTGGAGTTTTGCATATTTAATTTTCAGTGAGTCATAACAAGAAAGGTTTCACACATAGAGTAGAAAACTGCCTTGCAGAAAATCTTTGCCGTTTGAGCATTTAAGAAGGTGATTTTTCTGATTTGTTGTGTTTGGCTCCTCATGAGAATAGTATTAGTCTACTGATGAATTAAAGTACATTCTTTTTTTTTTTTTTTTTTTTT